ACCACCACCACCACCACCACCACCACCATCATCATCACCACCACCATTGATTTATTGGGACCAAAAGTAATCTGTTCTTTCTGAACTTGTTTCAATGCTCAGTGATAGCACCTTCATCTTTGAGTGTTGGAATTTACTTAAATAGCCAGATGACCCTTTGTCATTGTGTCCTGTACTTGGTTCCTGTATTGAGTAACAACAGAGAAGGTAATAGAGAAGAGACTCATTTTGACCCAAGAAGGAAGGCTTTGTATTGGGGTGTGTTGAGGGTTTCAAGTTGGAGAGGTTGGTTGGGTCCAGATTATGTGGAGTTTTAAATGCCAGTCAATGAGTTTGGGTTTTATCCTCTGGGCAATGGGTATCTGCTCAGTGTTTATGAGGAGGATAATGACATGTGAAGAGCTATGTTTTAGAACATTGAATCCAATGGTGGTAGGTAGGATAGATGGAAGGGAAAAGAGAATGACCAAAGAAGATAATCGTCATTACCTAGACTAGAAATGTCCAGGCTAGTGTTTCAGCAGTGAAAATAGAAAGGAAGGAGGTCAAATCTTAGGATTTGGTGACTGATTTGATGTGGGGGAAGTAGGGAGAGATGGATTCCCAGTAGCAAGTGATCCTGCTGACTGAGCATGCCATCCATGCTGATGATGTGGTAGTTTGTGGTCAGAGATGGTACAGACATCACCTCTGATCTGGAGTTTGGTGTTTAGGGTCAAGAAACCCATTGCCATTTGTCCAGAGGTAATCTGGCCTGTGTAAACAAACTACTGCTAACCAAATTCTCAAGAGATGCTTTTGTAAACCAAAATGGTACCCTAGTCACTTATAAATCAAACAACCAGGCACTTGCCTGGCAAAGATTGACTTAGCAAACACAGACCTAAGGACTGATGGTTGCCACTTTCTTCCGGATGTCTTCTAAGTTTTCCTAAAACCCAATAGACCTTCTTTTCCCACTCGAGGAAATACATTGATCAACCTCTGCTAACTAGTGAGAGGCAACATTGCTCACATGCTTCATGATTACCAAGTGCTTTATGTCAGTTCCCCAATCCGACCCTAACAACACCACTGTGAGGTAGGTAGTAGAAAGATCATTTTCATCATTTGAGTCTCAGAGAGGTTAAGTGACTTTCCTGAGGTCACACAATGAAGAAGTGTTAGAACTAGGACTTAAATCAAAGTCTTCTCTTTCCTAGTGATGGATTTTTACAGCATCTTGAGTTGACAGAGTAGATCTAGAACACTGATAGAATAACACTGATGGGGGGCAACTAGGTGGCGCAGTGGATAGAGCACTGGCCTTGGATTCAGGGGGACCTGAGTTCAAATCTGGCCACAGACACATAAAAACACACTAGCTGTGTGACCCTGGGCAAGTCACTTAACTCCATTGCCTAACCAAAAAAAAAAAAAAAGAATAACACTGATAGTTCTCTTCCTATTTGCAAGTTTCCTAGTTGACATTCAGAATTTCTCATTTTTGTTGTTCTGTGAAATCCTTTTAAAAAAATCTTTTCAGTCACAAATTCACAATCCCTTTCATGTCCTAGGTGAAATTTTAAAATTAGTTTCTGTTGATAATCCACAGTCTCATTTGACTAGAATCATAGAATCATAAGATATTAGCTCTGGGAGGGAGCTTATAAAGCAGAATATCAGAAATGGCAGTGGCTTTGGATCATACTGTCAGAGCTAGGAGGGAACTTGGAACACTGAATGTCAGAGATAAGAGGGCCCTTAGAGCATAGAGTGTGTCAGAGCTGGGAGGGGCCTCAGAACAGGGAATGTCAGAGCTAGGAGGGGCCTTAGAAGAGGGGATGTCAGAGTTGGGAGGGGTCTTAGAATACAGAATGTCAGAGCTGGAAGGGGCCTTAGAATAGGAAATATCAGAGCTGGGAGAGGCCTTAGGACCCAGAATGTTAGAGCTGGGAGGACCCCTAACAGATCATTTAGTTATAACTCCCTGATTTGAAAGAAGAAAACTGAGTATAAGTAGCAATCTCAGGGTCGCCTAGTGGATCAGAGGCAGAGATTGGATGTGACCATAGATGTTCTGTGTCTGTCCAGTAAGTACTCTGTATTTCACTGCCTCCAATGTTACATGTTGAATTGAATGTTATTCTCTGATTACCACGACTGATGAATCAGCAGCGTCCCTTCGTAACCTCTCCAGCCTTCCTTTGGCCTCATTTCTTGCCCAGCTTGGCTTTGAGTCTTCTGGCCACCTACTCTAGACTCATGTTTGGATAATTTCTGCCGTCCCTCCCACCTCCCCAAGGCCCTGAGCACAGTTTGGGTGAGTCCTCCCACTGTGAATCAAGCTGCATTTGCAGGACCCACCTCTTCCTCCAGATGCAGGACTCTGAGAGGTCCACCAGACCACAGCAGCACAAACAGGACCCGGGCCAACTTTGAACATAATGGGGTCCTTTCATCCCCTAGCACAGAAGCCCATTAGCCATAGTCAGATAAAGGCGCAGTCA